CGGAAGTCCGTTTCCGAACTTCCGGTTTGCCCATAGGGCCGTTGTTTTGTGCTCCAGAGGCTTCAGGGAAGCTCCTGAAGCCTCCAGAGGGCCTCCGGAGGGGGCTGGGGAGGCTGTTTTCACCCTCCCCAGGCTCCTATAAAGCCTCTGGAGCCTGGGAAGGGTGAAAAAAGGTTTAAAAAAAGGTTGAACTCAGTTTGCCAGCACGCGCATGCGCTCTGGGCAGCTGACAGGGCAACACCTCACATGCCCTGACAAATGGCTCTGCGTGCCACCTGGGGCACATGTGCCATAGGTTCGCCATCTCGGGCATAGTCCATAAAGTTGGAAGGTTTATGGTCCTTAAATCATACTTGACATTTTGTCATTTTTATTTCAAAGTACAAAAATCTAGCTGCTCATAACATGGAGACAATGAGCTAATAAACCATGACTACCTTTTTGGAGTTCACCCATAATGCCTTATGCACAATCTTCCTGAATATATATAATTTTTAACAATATATATTAAGACACCTACTTTGTTTTGAACCATCTACCAGTGGCAATATCCCTGATAGGGATTCGTCAGTCTGTGTCGTCTCTGTTTTGGATGTACTAGTATGTTTTTGGGTTGAAGACGTGCTGCCATAATTTGCATCTGAAGGCTGTTTGTTGTCCTTAGCTTTCCTCCAGAGATGAGCATTGTACATAGTTCCAGCAACTGGCAGAATGATGAATAAAACACTAATAAACCTAGGGAAAACAGAAGTTCATTACTGTGGAAGTCTTGATGCTTTGAGGCAATGGTTGGAATATCCTTTTTGACACAGGTTTACATCTGGACACCCAGTACTTACAAGCAGACCCCTGTGAATGCATCAATGGTAGAAAGGTCTTTGGCACATCTGGCCACCGTGTTAAATGAAATGCTTGCGTTGAGAGCAAAGAGGGATGGGAGAGGCAAGAGGAAGGAGGTGGACTTGAATTTAAATATACCTGTCAAGAAAGAACAGCAGTAATAATGTCAGATCAGGAGAAGAGAGTATATGTTGTACTTCAAAATTTTCATTACTTCTGAAAGGACAGACATGGAAACATTTGCTTTCTCGGAGTACAAAGAGTACTTGTGTCTCATCCAGAGGGTTTTTATTGCATTTCTATTTGAAAAGTGGAAAACTCATGAGTTCTTTTTTTTTTTTTCCAGATAAAAGAATCACTCACTTTTTTTCCCCTCCTGTTTTTAATCACCTGTTTCAGGGAGAGAAAAAAGAAAGACAGCCTGGTGCCCTCCAGTTTTATCGTGCGTCAATTCTCACAAGCTCCCAACCTGAGGGCATCCACTGTGTGTGTGTGTGTGTGTGTGTGTGTGT